AATGGAATGGAGGAGCCGCGCTTTTCACAACTAGTCGCTAGAATGGACATTCCTCGACATTCGGGTTTCTGATATTGGGTTAAAATGCATTTCCGATTGTTGCACTTACTTATCGTTGACACAAAGATTAAGAGATCCGCAGAGAGATCCAGGAGCCATAGATATCTTCAAAACGTGCAATCTTCGAGATGAGCGTCGCGCTTACTCTTGCGATCGCAGCCTCGCTGATAACAGCAACCGGCTGCAGCTGCGTCGCGCTGAGAGCAGTCACAAACACTAGTATGCGTGCGGCAGTTTTCGGATTTGTACCGTTTCCTCGCAACAATTCGCAGCATACTAAGGTAAGGTGTATTCTCGCGAGAGAGGTCCGCTCCTCTGCGAAAAAGAACAGTTACGTTATATATAATAGAAAAATGAAGATTTGTAAAGTGACGCAATATTATTTTAACCTAAATTTTAATTCGATTTTTTTATTTAAAGTTCAACGTCACGATATTTTAACTCAAGTATGTACGAAACGTAAATAAATTGTAATTAAAAAAATTAAATATTATATTATGCGATCTGTTTAGGGATTATATATTATGTTAGAATTTGAGAAGAAAGAGAGATAGAGAGCTCAGGAAGAAATAAGATTAAAATAAAATCTGAGAATCTAAATTTTTTTCTAAATTTATTTGTACTAGAGGCAAAGGAACTTACCGACCAAGCTTGACCAATATTAGGTGGATTGTTGTAACGCCGTTGATTGTAATCGTAATTGACTTTTGGTGGGATTTCTAAGGGTAGCAATGGGCTGGAAAATTGTTTTCGCTGCTGTTGCCTATTCAATAATTGTTCTTCGTTTATTCGATCTTTATCCTCTCTATAAGCGGCGGCTTTTGTTTCCATCTCTTCGGCTATATGTTGCTCCTAAAATATATATTATTATTACAAACGATATTTCTACATTATCAAACCTAAGAATATAAAAAAGTAAATATTTCTTCATCAAAGAAAAAATATATTATCGAATTTCTTTTCATCGATATAGCGATATCCATCATCTTTATATATTTGAAAACCTTTCCTTATTTAATTAAGACGCGGCCAATTTTTGGCCACTAAACTGGCGAAAAAAAGCTGACTTGAAAAAAAAAAATCAATTAACATTTGCAAAACTTATTTTTCTCTTTCGAATCTGACTGACGATCGGAGGGGTGACCCGATCACCGACCGACCTGTAGTTCACGTGCTCTCTCGGCCTGGATGAGATTCTTGAGCGCTTCGAAACTGCCGGCCTGCGGAACCTGCGACCTCGGGCTACCACCGCCGACGCGGAAGCTGGTGATGCGACGATTGTTCGGCGTGTACGTATTCACGGTCCCGAAATGTCGCGAGAGATTCTCGATGACCTTCATGCGCGAGGGCCCCCGCATCGCGTTTCGCCATCTGCTCCCTGCCGGGGCCTTGTGCACCATCCTTCCGTAAATCGGTGCACCCCCCGCGGCCCGGCTACGCGCTCGCCCGCCGTGTCTTCCTGTGAATTAATAATCCTTCACTCCCTCGGAATAGGTTTTTACGTTAGTCTCTTTCCCGCATATCGCGGGAAACTGCAAAAAAAACTACCCTTCCCGCTACCCTCCGCGCACGAAACTCGGCGCGAAACGCTTTATAAATCCGCGAACAATCCGAGCTATCTGAAAAATGCATCAAAGCATTTTTAATGCCCCCATTAATCTTTGTTTTATTAACACGAACCTTTGTTTCGAAACACGAATCTTGCTGAAAATTGAACAAAGAGAGTATGTTTTTAAGTAAATATTAAATCCAAAGCTTTGCTTTTTGTTTTTATCTTTAAAGACGATTTATTAAATTGTCAATTAATTAATATTTGCAAAATTAATTTTTTATGGGAAAGGCATGTTTCCGAATAAATGAGATTAAAAACATCTCAAATTATAACAACGCGTGTGTTTTTGGAATAACAATCGTACACGGCACCGTATACCACGAGTGGTTAAAATCATCGAGATTACACGCGTTTTCCGCGTGGGTGGAAATGAGTGACGTCAGGTCAAGAAGTCCGTATATTGCGCTTCGACGGATGAAAAGGGTTTGAAAAGGACTGCTGACGTTTCGCGTGGGCGAAGGTGTCACGAATTTCCTAGTCGGTGGCATACATTTCGTATAAATTACGTCTTAATCCTGTTAGAGTTCTGTTTTTAAGTTTGTGTTAAGTTTGTGTTAAATGTTGTGACTTAATTACTTGTTAATTACTTACGATATAACGACTGTGAAAGATACGACTAAACATATCACATATAGTCGTCATAAATAGTATAAATATAACGCTTAAAATAACTATTTTAATATGTATATGTTCATATTAAATGTGTATGAATAAAATGTGTAAAAATAAATATAACGTGATTGCTAATACTAAATTACTGCTCGGGAAATAACTCTCGAGTAATTGCGAAAAGTAAGCATCGCGTGCTGTGTTTAAAAGGTTAACGAGATAAAGATTATAAATGTGTTTACCCCGTTAATAGCATCGTAGCGTGCGCACAAATGTAAAGATAAATAACGAACTAACTTAATTTCAAAAGAGGTACTTAATTTAAATTATAGTTTAATTTATTCTTTTTTATAATTGCATATAATATTTATAATTGTATATCATAGCATATAAATATATACAAAATATCATTTTAATTAACTATATTTAGCTTAGTTAATTCTAATTAGTGAGAACAATAAATGTAGACAAATCTATGATAAAGACGTTACAATGCCAATACGAAATTAAAGAAAATTAAAGAAAATTAATAAATATTGTAGAATAAATTAGAAACTAAAGGAGAGAGAGGAAAGACATTGTAATTGGAAGTGATAATAAAATTTTTTAGAAACTAAATTCATCGAGAAATGAGAACGTGCGTTATCTAGAAATTTTAGTAGAAATCCGTGAAAGCGTGAGAAGTAGTACGCAGGCGATGGATCGAATCAATTTTCGTTTTAATTAAGAATTGCTCGAAGGAGAAATTAAATAATTCGATGGCGTACGTTAATTGCCCCCCCTCCCCTTTCTTTGGGCAAAATCAATCGGATTTAGATAGCGGTCAAAGCGCCCAATTCGAGCTTGCGATGCTGTCGCGTTTCAAAGCGATAGGTTACCAATATGGTACCCTTGATAATTAGCCTGAATCGTGTATACTCGTTAGCGTAAGTGCCCGACGCGTACGTGAGTAAAGTGCTGCGCTTGACCCACATGTGTGTGTGTGTGTGTGTGTGTGTGTGTG